AGAGGACAGTGTGTTAAGAGCCGAAGAGGACAGTGATGCTTAAGAGCCGGAAGAGGACAGTGATGACCTAAGAGCCGGTAGAGGACAGTGATGCCTCAAGAGCCGGAAGAGGACAGTGATGCTAAAGGCCGTAGAGGACCAGTGACATAGCTAAGAGCCGGTAAGAGACAGTGATGCTAAAGAGCCGGAAGAGGACATGATGCTACAGAGCCGGAAGAGACAGTGATGGCGTCAAAGAGCCGGAAGAGACAGTGATGCTAAAGAGCCGGTTAGAGGACAGTCGCATGCCTCAAGAGCCGGAAGAGGACAGTGACACTATAGAGCCGGTAGAGGACAGTGATGCTTAAGAGCCGGAAGAGGACAGTGATGCTTAAGAGCCGGAAGAGGACAGTGATGCTAAAGAGCCGGAAGAGGACAGTGATGCTATAGAGCCGGTAGAGGACAGTGATGCTCAAGAGCCGGAAGAGGACAGTGACGCTATAGAGCCGGTAGAGGACAGTGATGCTTAAGAGCCGGAAGAGGACAGTGATGCTAAAGAGCCGGAAGAGGACAGTGATGCTAAAGAGCCGGTAGAGGACAGTGATGCTATAGAGCCGGAAGAGGACAGTGATGCTAAAGAGCCGGAAGAGGACAGTGATGCTAAAGAGCCGGAAGAGGACAGTGATGCTAAAGAGCCGGAAGAGGACAGTGATGCTACAGAGCCGGAAGAGGACAGTGATGCTAAAGAGCCGGAAGAGGACAGTGATGCTAAAGAGCCGGTAGAGGACAGTGATGCTCAAGAGCCGGAAGAGGACAGTGACGCTATAGAGCCGGTAGAGGACAGTGATGCTTAAGAGCCGGAAGAGGACAGTGATGCTAAAGAGCCGGAAGAGGACAGTGATGCTAAAGAGCCGGTAGAGGACAGTGATGCTATAGAGCCGGAAGAGGACAGTGATGCTAAAGAGCCGGAAGAGGACAGTGATGCTAAAGAGCCGGAAGAGGACAGTGATGCTAAAGAGCCGGAAGAGGACAGTGATGCTACAGAGCCGGAAGAGGACAGTGATGCTAAAGAGCCGGAAGAGGACAGTGATGCTACAGAGCCGGAAGAGGACAGTGATGCTAAAGAGCCGGAAGAGGACAGTGATGCTAAAGAGCCGGTAGAGGACAGTGATGCTCAAGAGCCGGAAGAGGACAGTGACGCTATAGAGCCGGTAGAGGACAGTGATGCTTAAGAGCCGGAAGAGGACAGTGATGCTAAAGAGCCGGAAGAGGACAGTGATGCTAAAGAGCCGGTAGAGGACAGTGATGATAGAGCCGGAAGAGGACAGTGATGCTAAAGAGCCGGAAGAGGACAGTGATGCTAAAGAGCCGGAAGAGGACAGTGATGCTAAAGAGCCGGAAGAGGACAGTGATGCTAAAGAGCCGGAAGAGGACAGTGATGTAGCTGAAGGTAATTATCGTCTTTTAATTTCCTTTGTTCTTTAGCAGTTTATATAACAAAATATTACGTAAATGTTTATTTGGATGAAAGGCTCTAAAGAAACATTAAATCGATTTTGTAATGAAAAGAGCCTCTTGTCTTTTCAATTTGTATGTCTTCCATTCGTTAAATGTGTTTAATTGGTCTCTTTTAGACAATTCTGAATTAACAGTGAAGGACAGCACTGTATCAGATCCCCTTGCCTGGGGTTCACGCAGACGTTACAGGCGCAGAAGTAGCTTCCGCAGACGTTACAGGCGCAGAAGTAGCTTCCGCAGACGTTACAGGCGCAGAAGTAGCTTCCGCAGACGTTACAGGCGCAGAAGTAGCTTCCGCAGACGTTACAGGCGCAAATATAGCTTCCGCAGACGTTCTTGGCGAAGACGTTCTTGGCGCAGACGCAGGCGACACGGGAAGTAAGCCAGGAACTGACTAAGAAACTTCTTGTACTTGCACGTTTTGTTTTCCATTTTTATGTTTACATACATATCAAAGCAGTTGATATAGATAAACTGAGAAAAATAATGGGCTGTTTTTTGTCTTGTTTTCTGAAAAGGACCGTCAACCTTTTGCCTCGAACATTTGGCTATGCGGTAAACGCTTACTCATGTAGGGATGAATTCCATCTACTCGTTAAATGAAAGAAAAGTTAAAGCAAATTACTATAATATTGTTTCAAAGAAGGATTGAGATACCGGAATGGAAGGGAGCTTTGGCTCTCCCCAAAAAACTTAAATACTATAAGTAGAATTCTTTTGTGTTGTAAAATATGGCTGTTTTTCACATTTTTATCAGGGCTGCCCGCCCCCAAACAAAAAGTTGCATCACGGTCTATGGTTTCGAAGGATGTAAACGAGAAGAAGTGGTCCTAAGATGCCTACTATACTTCTTTAGCAGCTTCGAGGTAGGGGTTGAAAACCAGCTGAAGAAGTTTTTAGGCGTGGGGAGGGGGGAGGGTAGGGCAGCTACCAACAAAGTGGATGCAACACGGAAAATTTAATTTTAATGTCGGTTAATTTGGCATTTCCTTACCACCGAAAAAGTTGAATTTCTTGGGGTAGACTTTAGTTAGAAGAAATTTGCGATTGAATAGAGTACATAAGACAAGATTTGAGATATAAATTTGAAAAGAGGACAAAGAGCTGAGTTAATTTTAATGATGAAAATATTCTGAAATTTGAAAATTCTGTTCTTTGTAAATATTTAAAGAAGCGTCGAATTCTAAATACATTATTTTCATTTAAAACATATACTCTACGAATATCTCCTGTACAGAAATGAATCCACAATAGAAGCTACAACCCAATCTATATGAAATAATGTTTAATGAAAAGCAAATATCGAATGTAATCCCTGGGCCAGTTTCGTCAGCAGTGTATGCGCTGTTTGAAATATTGCGTTTACTGTTTAATTTTTTGTTTACTGCGACCATTCAATATGATATGTGTTACATTAAGAAAAAGTTGAAACTTAATGCAGGTTTGTTGGTAATTGATTTTTTATGAGAATATGCAGCCAGTTTGTCACCATGGAACTATTCAGAACTAAGGAGTACTCAGGTCGAGTTTTGAACTTTTAGCCATAAGGGCCCCACAAGATACAAATTTCTTGATAGCAAAAGCCAAGAAGAATATTTTCCGTCATTTACAAGCCTTTATTTCCGCTGTACTTCAACCAATTTCTACTACTCAAGACTCGATTAAACGTTCCATTATTTAAATTTATCAACTTATTTCCTAATTTTCTAGAAACATGCTGTATGAGAATTTACTGCTAGAAAAACAGATTTTCTCAAAGTTTATTCGATACGGAAAGCTTGCTCCTGTCTTTTCCCGTAAATACTTATGTAACAATAACGGTGGTTTCTATTCAAGTTGCTTTAAATAAAGGGCTTATTAAACTTGTCAAGCTTCCTAAAACCAATTCACAACAAGCTTTTTCTTCGTTGCTTCATTTAATTTCGCCTGTTTTGAATTAGCGGCCATGCAAAAAGGATAGGAAAGCTGTAAAAAATATGAAAGCAAAATCATTGGTGTCAAAAACCCAGTTTAGGCCAAGTTTGAAAACGAGGGTCTCGATCACAACAATGCGCAGTTCTAAAACAAGGCTGCTGCTTTTTTTAAAAAAGTGGTACTTCTGTAACGATTTCGTTAAGTTCCTTTTGATCATTGACGTTTTTGCGAGCAAACTTTGAAACTGAACATAAATCGTAAACTATAAGTTACATAAAATCTTTCTTTTGAATGCTTCCATAAAATCTTGCATATTTTCTGTAACAACCAGAGCTCTGCAAAAAAAGCACACGAGTGTGACCTGACAACTACAGATTGCATCTATTTACGCTGCTTCAATTTAAAAAAATAGTCTTTTTGTGACTTTATTAATGTTTTTATGGTGTCTAGAAGTAAGAAAATAAAGCTATTAAATAAAGATTTTATCAGATCTCATGATAAAGGTATCATGAGAAAACAACGAAAAGCAATGCATCACTTTTCACTTAGTATCTACACTCTCTCTTTTTATAAGAACCAGTAAATTTATGTTCAGGCTGACTGTTCTTAATTTTTTCAAAGATCTAAGGCTGGATTGTTCTCAATTTTTTCTTAAATTAAGAGGGCGTAAGCAGTGCTATTGCTAGCGTTTTGGCTCTAAAGAGGTGTTCAGGCCTCATTTGCCAACAAAGTGAGTGAGACAACCTTAATTTGCTGACAAATTTGAATATTCACCGAAAAAGCACCCACGCATCGCTAAAAATCCTCTATTTTGAGAAAAAGCGTTGTTCAAAATTGCATTTTGCAGAAGCTCAGCCTCAGCTTTGTTTTAATGTGTTCTTAACTTTTGACCAGTTTTAAGGCTCGTGTTCTTATAAAATTGTCATTATAAAAAAAGAGTGTATTACAAGTTTGGGCTAAAACTGGCTTGTTAGGGTAATGTATGCAACTGATGTGCCTGAAGTAGTTAAAATTGAGATAACAATCTTATCATGTTACTATGGGATAAATACTACTAGGCTTCTAGGTCTTTGTTGTAAAACAGTAGCACCGAAGTTAAGAAAAAATAACACTTCTTTAAAGGCAGCAATTAACGAATCTCTTAGAAGCTTCCATAGATTAAATAGCATTTAAGCGAGATTTAAAGAAGAAGTTTAACAGTGACCAATTCACGAGAGAAAAGCATTCACTGTTTGCGTCATGAGATCAGAAATATCATCAGGTGGTGTATTAATAAGCGCCGAAAACTGCAAGTGAAGCATTATAAGAGGAATTTTTACAGGAGTGCAGGGGAAATTTGAAATGTTATCCTTTTGACTGGGAATAAGTTTCCCTTATTTTTTGAATTTTCTTTAATAAGAGGAGGAGCTAAAACTAAATCAACTTTTTATATCTTATGTGTCAAGACGAAAAGGCATGGCATAATTTTTTATTTTTACTACCTTGCTTATGAAGGTAACTTTTAGGGCACTGTGAAGCTATGCTTATCGTGCTGTGATCTGGTCCCTCGATGTGACAAGACCTCGTGCTACCTCTCCTCACTCTAAGTGAAACTTTCAGCAGGAGCTCAAACGCCAGAAACTTGAATCTGTAATCTGCGCCATTGAAAACTGAGAAATCCTTCTAGTTAGATGAGGGCTTCTTTGATTGAAGTTACATACCAAGCTGTCACATGATCATTTCACGTCACGTGAATAATAGGTTATTGAGCAGATAGTATTTTAGCATATTTTCACGATATAAGCGGATGAAAATATGAAGTATTTCTGTTTATTATCAATGTTTGCATTCACATCACACCCCCTACTACAACTAATTGATGCTAAACGTGGGGCATTGAAATAGAGAAAAAGGGACAAAGTTGGTCAATGATATTGCTTCATGCAAATATTGTTTCTGAGGTACTGGTACAGAAACTAATAAATATTTCCTAAATATTCATTAATTGAAACGAAAAAGACAACATTAGAGTATAGTGACCGATTTGGTATTTCTTGGTATCCTATTTTAAACATGCCTGTCATTTAAGGTTTCATTTAGAACAGTGAGTGCCAAAATCAAATCTTCTCTATCAACACCATGCATGGCTTCTTCGTATCGTGTCCAAAACGTAGAAACGACTGTCATAAAAAACTGATTTTAATGCAATGCAATATCATTAAAATCGATTTATTATTTACAAAAAAGCAGAATGACTATCTCAAAATGTTCCCGCAACACAAATACAATTGATTTCGTTAATAAGAGTTCCTCTTCCCATCCTGATCATCTCCAGCAGAGCAATCTTCGTAAACATCCTCTGCGCTTCTTTGCTTGAAGTTCCTCAATGATGTTTTCTTTCTCCTCAACTTTTTCCATAAGCTCCTCGATGACTTCCATCAGTCCATCGTTGTCTTGGTTCTTTCTCTCGAAAGCGTGCTTTAAACGTTGGCCATCTCTAGATAGGGTTGCATTCGCCTCTTTTAAACTGGTACAGTTCTCTTCAAGCTGCTTTATTTGTGCCACGAACGACATCTTCGCAGTGATTCGGTCAGTTTGTTCCTCCAAGAACTTTTCGTGGGCCTCAGTATTTTCCTGGCGCATCACAAGTACTCTCTTCTTAAGCAGTGTGTTGTCTTCTTCAAGCAGTTGGTTCTGCTGTTCAACAATTTGATATTGATCAAAAAGCTTCTTATATTCCTCTGCTCCCTGCTCCTCTTTGTGTTGTTGAAGCCTCTTCACGTTTTCTGCCTGAGCAAGTTCAAACTGCAGCTGCTGAATATGATCTCTAAGTGACGCAATTTCCCTCTGTTTAACGAGGCCTTCTACATCATTGACAATGTCATTTAGAAAAGTTGTCACTGTCAGTTGCAGCTTCTGACCTTCCAGCTCGCTCTTCACTTGATCGAGTTCAGCTTTAAGATTTTTGTTTTGCACACGCAGTTGATAACTCTTGACCTGCTCATCGTACAGCTTTACTTCATGTTGATCAGCCATCTTTTTAACTTTTGCCTTCCACTTTGCTTCGATGGTCTTGATCTTCTCGTGCTTGCCTTCCAGCGCATTTAGCAAAGAGTTTCTATCCACCGTCATTTCATGGAGCTCGTAAGCTAAAAGGGTAGAATGGTCTTCAAATGTTTTAGCTTTGACTCTCAAAGACTCGATTTGGAATTTGTTATCTTCATTGTTCTTTCTCTCGTCAGCGAGTTGCTTTTGTAACTCCTTGATTGCTTCCTTGAGGCTGCTATTTTCTTCCTTCAAATCTTCTTTTTCATTTGCATCGTCGTTGGAAATCTGAAGATCGGGTTGAGATTCAACATCCGTTTCAGACTCCTTGTCTTTGAATGATGTGCAATGCTTTGTCGTAGCTGACTGGCAAATATATGCATCCATTTCTTCAAGAGAGGCAGCCAGTTCCTAAAATACAATTTTTACAATTTTCAGAAAAGCATCTTTTACTAGCCAGTGTATCCAGTTAAAGTGACATCTGAGAATACATTCCTTTTGCCCTAAACTTAAAAATCATCGTTATCTTTCTCAATCTTTTATCATTTCCAGTACAATACTGTTCCATCCACTTTTAGAGATAGGTATGAATTTCTAAGAGCAAACGAAGAATCATAAGGGCTTTTATCTTTTTGTATAAGAATCTTTAGCATCTTACCTCGGATACTTGTCTTGGTGCTTGACAATTTTCTTGTTCGGTAAACAGACTGTCAAGAAGTTGCTTGTTTGTGCATCGCAATTCTGCCATCTCTGTTGACGAACGATTGCTTCCTTCTTTCAATGCAGCCATTTGTTGCCTCAAATGAACCAGCTCCTCGTTCAGCATAATCATGCTATCCTTCTCTCGCATTCTTCTTCTCTTGTTTCGCGATATACTTGTATCAGACATTTCCGCAAGTTTCATAAACAGTGTTCAATATTGAACCATAAATACTTTGATTTAAGGAATGCCAGTGGCGCATTTATAGGGGTTTACGCCTATTGTGACGTCAGATTGATGAGACATGAAATCGAGTTTCTTTCGTCACAGTGAAGTTTTGATGCATCAGCAAAACCGAGGCATTGCCAGTATGGCTTTATTTTGCTGATTTGTTTTCCGACCTTTCTATCTCTTGAACTCTTTCCTTCTTGTAAATTTTTGTTGAGCACTTCTTTGCTTTTAGATTTATCTCAAAAGTGTCAGCAAACTCAAAAGTTTTACTATTATTGGGTTCAAACTTTGACCATTCCTTGTTGCTAACTCAAAAAGCTAGATTAAATGAAAATAAATTCATTTTTTCGTTTTTTTATCCCGCTCTCTAAGTAAACGAACCCCTCTCCTTTATATCATCAAGCTTTTAATCCATCTTAAATGCTATTTGGGATCAACACTAGAGATTCATATCAGTGAGAGGCGACCTAATCTATCCCGTCATCTTGTTCATGACTTTAGCCAACACTAAAAAATGTGCGTTTCAAATATACCTTTGGACGAGACAAACTTCTTTCCCTTTGATTATAAGGTCTCAAGGAATTATTAAACACAAAAAAATTTCTGTCTAGGGAGTATTAAATGCCCTTGTAAAGATGATAAAGTTCTGAAGAAATGAGAGGCCTGTAGCATGAAAACTCTATGCATATAAGAGCGTGTTATTTCTGATTTTATCTGTTCCTCGATCGATCCGATCGAACATGGTACTCTTTTTATGTCAAGGTTGTAGGTAAACAGAACAGTGTTTGACCGATTGCAATCATCGGGGAGCTTAAGCAAAACGGAGAATAGAAACATCATTGAAGAATTTTGCGCAAGGTAGTTCCGTGGGTGCTTACAAAGATTTGTTTGCTAGATGTGATAGGGAATAAAAAGGAATATATTGAGATTTTCAGGATTATGCCTTTGTAAATTCTTATAATATCTACAATGATAGAATAGAAGATTGACCCTGCAAAAGTTGTCCATTTGCCTCCTTCATTGATTCAAATCATTTCTAAACAAGATAAGATCTTCATGCTGGCAATTTGCAAAAATATGGTGACATACATTGAAAATACACAATAAGGCGATTAAATAAAGGAAGGAAATAAAACAAAATGAATGCAAACAGAAAAGTAAGTACCTTTTGAGTATAGTTTCTATAAGGGACACCTTCTGTTGCATTGTGAATCCTTTGTTTGAATCCTTTTTCCAAACCTAGGCCTAAAAATAAGATAGCTCACTAAGTAATTGGCTCTTGGAGAGAGGGGAAATGATAGTAGAAGATACCGCAGAACGTAGGTATGAAATTTTCCAAGAAGAAATTTACAAAGATCAATTGAAAATGGGCAACATATATTTTGATTTCTAGATTGTAAAGAAATCAAATGAAAGAAGAGCAGTAACTCGCCTCTTAACCAAGCATCATTGAAAACGTGAGAAGCAATCTCAAGCAGCATTTCTAGTAAGCTCTTTGTATGAACGAAAATCGATATTGATCTGATCACAACTTCCCACTCCCAATTGTTTTTCAATGTATTTCCAGAAATCAGAAAATAGAACTTTGGAAAAAAATAGAGTGGACATGTCCACTTCAGTTCACCCCTTGGCAACGCCACTGACGAAGATTGGGGTTCTGTGGAGCCATCGTAGATTCCTGTTCTTTTATGCATTTCAATGAAGCAAGTTTTCAAACACCATAGAAGCAGTTTTTCAAACATGTCTACCTGCCAATGTCTCTAGTACCCTTAAACAAATTACATTGCTCTTTTTAAATCTTTTGCTCAGTTTTGCATGTTCTTTACGATAGTATCATCAGATTTGAAAAATTTTCGAAAGTTGAAATTTTGCTGACCGTGTATTTCTCATGCTTCCGGAAACGCAACTTCCAGTGCAAAATTCCCTGTCTAAAGTAGAAGAAAATTTGTCGTACTACCATTTCTGAAAAGTGTTTTTACGCTGCTAAATCATTTAACATGCCGTTTCGCCTTTGCGACTGAAGTAAACCCCCAGACAATCTGTGTTGTGCACGTGAGGTTACTTTTGTACTAAAAATAGCCATTTTCTACTTTTCCATAAGCAACTTTATGTTCCTTACATAATTTTCTTTACTTTGATAGGAGCAGCTCTTGAAGATAGCTCCAACGAGGTGGCAGAGAAGAGTGTTCCGGAAGAGGTTCATGTAGAGGAAGATTCTACAAGCGAAGAAGAGGAAGTTCCAGAAGCTGAAGAGCCCTCTGAAGATGAGTACAGTGATGCTACGGAAGTGGAACAGGACAGTGATGCTATAGAGCCGGTAGAGGACAGTGATGCTACAGAGCCGGAAGAGGACAGTGATGCTAAAGAGCCGGAAGAGGACAGTGATGCTAAAGAGCCGGAAGAGGACAGTGATGCTAAAGAGCCGGAAGAGGACAGTGATGCTATAGAGCCGGTAGAGGACAGTGATGCTACAGAGCCGGAAGAGGACAGTGATGCTAAAGAGCCGGAAGAGGACAGTGATGCTAAAGAGCCGGTAGAGGACAGTGATGCTCAAGAGCCGGAAGAGGACAGTGACACTATAGAGCCGGTAGAGGACAGTGATGCTTAAGAGCCGGAAGAGGACAGTGATGCTAAAGGGCCGGAAGAGGACAGTGATGCTAAAGAGCCGGTAGAGGACAGTGATGCTCAAGAGCCGGAAGAGGACAGTGATGCTAAAGAGCCGGTAGAGGACAGTGATGCTACAGAGCCGGAAGAGGACAGTGATGCTAAAGAGCCGGAAGAGGACAGTGATGCTACAGAGCCGGAAGAGGACAGTGATGCTAAAGAGCCGGAAGAGGACAGTGATGCTAAAGAGCCGGTAGAGGACAGAGATGCTCAAGAGCCGGAAGAGGACAGTGACACTATAGAGCCGGTAGAGGACAGTGATGCTTAAGAGCCGGAAGAGGACAAGTATTGCTAAAGAGCCGGAAGAGGACAGTGATGCTCAAGAGCCGGAAGAGGACAGTGGAGCCTATAGAGCCGGTAGAAGACAGTGATGCTAAGAGCCGGAAGAGACAGTGATGCTAAAGAGTCCGGGAAGAGGACGTGATGATAAAGAAAGCCGGTAAGAGACAGTGATGCTCGAGAGCGGAAGAGGACAGTGACACTATAGAGCCGTAGAGGACAGTGATGCTTAAGACCGGAAGAGGACAGTGAGATGCTAAGAGCGGAAGAGGACAGTGATGCTAAAAGAGCCGGTAGAGGACAGTGATGGCTCAAGAGCCGGAAGAGGACAGTGATGCTAAAGAGCCGGTAAGAGGACAGTGATGCTACAGAGCCGGAGAGGCAGTGATGCTAAAGAGCGCGGAAGAGGAACAGTGATGCATACAGAGCGGAAAGACAGTGATGCTAAAGAGCCCGGAAGAGGACGTGAATGCAAAGCGCCGGTAGAGGACAGTGAATGGTCAAGAGCCGAAGAGGACAGTGGACACTATAGAGCCGGTAGAAGGACATGCTGCTTAAGAGCCGGAAGAGGACAAGTGATGCTTAAGAGCCAGAAGAGGACAGTGATGCTAACAGAGCCGGAAGAGGAAGTGGATGCTATAGTGAGCCGGTAGAGGACATGATCTAAGACGGAGAAGGACGTGAACTATGAGCCGGTAGAGACAGTTGAATGCTTTAAGAGCCAGGAAGTAGGCACAGTGATGCTAAAGGAGCCGGAAGAGGACAGTGAATGCCCTAAAGAGCCGGTTAGAGGACAGTGATGCTCAAGAGCCGGAAGAAGGACAGTATGCTAAAGAAAGCCGGTAGAGGAACAGTGAATG